TCCCTGTACTGTATAAAATAAGGGGTGACACTGCCATGTTTCAGAACATTCTCTCAGTCAATTGTGGTTTTGCTTCCCATAATTATCATCATGTTTGGCCCAAGTAGACTCATAAAAATTCCTGTCAGTTTGAAACATTTCTTACGTTGATAGCTGAAGATTCCAAGCTTCTGATCAGAACTTGGTCTTTCTGGTGACCTGCCCTCACTCTGCAACTATCCAGAGGGCTGCCAAGGGTCGCATCATCAAAAGAAAAGACACTCTTATCACCCGTATCCCTTAGAATTCCCGAAGAGTTAGCTGCTCTTTACTAAAATCCAAGAAAGAAGACCAAACTTATTTTTGTAACATCACATGAGAGAACTGATGCTTCTTGTGGTGGGTCACTCACCCAGACTCACAGAGCCTGCAGGTGGACTCTGTATTATCAGTGGGCATTTGTCACATAGGCTTCTCTTTTTGAGGGGGGTTTCTCCTTCTATCAGAGGGATTCAAAACTTAAACACTACCTTTCCCCTACTCCTAGTGATTGAGAATCCTGATGTGAATTGAGTGCAGGTTCTGAGGTTCACTGCTTCATAATTTAGAAACTGGAAGAAAGATGGGGCTATTGTTTCTGCTACTGGGGTAACTGGTGGCCAGGCTGTGACAGACACAGCTTTATGTGAAGAAGAACATGTTGTTTTTAACTTCTGAGTGTGGCCGTGGCAGTGCGACCTTGAGACCAGACTTACAGGGGTAACTCCCTGACTTCTATTTCTATAGCTATTCAGTGGTATCATAAGTGCTGAATCTTTGTGTAAAAGACTTGTCTACACACAAGTTCATGTGTGCAGGTTTACTTGTAAGAGCCCCAAACTGGGAAGAACACAAGTGTCCATGAAGGATTAATAGATAATCAATATTAATACATTTCTGGAATGAGATATAAATAGAGACTAAAAAGAGAGAACTATGTCAATATAGCCAAATTTGGCCTCACATCAAACACTTTATGATAAAAATTTTGAAAATTCCAGAAAGTGCCAATGAATTTATAATGAAAAAAACTGAAGAGGGTTCTGTTAACACTTAAAAAGCAGGTGGAGAGGTGAAGAAAAAGGAGATTACAAGAGGGCATGAGAATACTTTAATAGTGAGGGACATGGCCTTTATTTTCATTGTACAACTTTTCTGGTGCATGCATCTGAAAACACTTCATAAATTGCACACTTTCAATATGTTAAGATCATTATATTCAACTGTAATTCAATAACTATACTACAGTTATATTTAGATCTATGAAATATTGCCTAAGGTATAAATTGAATACAAAGTACAAAACTTAAAAAAAAAAAAAAGAAGATACCCAACTGTAACATGACATTTTCTTTCCCGTGTTTTTACTGGTCTACAGGGGGCGACAGGATTACTCTGCAGAAGGAGCCTTTCTGGGGCACCACCAACTTCACCTCAGCAGCACCCATAGTGCAGCAGGGGAACAACCTCAACAGCAACTCTCACTCCACAGTCTTTCTAACTCTTTAGCTCCTGCAATGGACGTTGTCGGCTCTTCCAACCAGCCAAGCATCACCCCTACAACGTCAGTCTTCTGAGGAAGATTTTTTTTAATCCCTCTGTTTTGTATGGAGTAAATGTCCACTAACTCTCCAGGTTTCTGCCCAGTGGATATTTTTCTGAGAAGTGCTCTGTGTGTTCCCCAGACCAGCCGAGACACCATTACGTACTCTGGAGGGACCAGAAGTTTTCTTTTGAGGCCCTTCACTGGATTATAATTAAGTTCCTAGAACCATGATTTGCCTGACAGCATGTTCTGTTACAAGGAAAAGTCGATGAGCACAGGGCCCACACTTGTCCTATTCTGTTTGGAGTTTCCAGGGCCCAGCCATGCCAGATGCTCCACAAACATGCATTAAAACAGTGAGGGAAACTACCCAGTGGAAACCTGTCACACTATGTGACACTTGACGTAAAATTATGTTCTTGTAGACACACAGGCACTGGTGTCAGCACGACAGGAGGATGCCACCTGCTTGGGGACATGCTAGGGTCGGGCTTTTATTTCTCATACAGTCAGGAGGACTGAAAGGAACTTCCTAACACTGAGGGGTTGGACTACATTTTATTCCTCCAAAGTCACAGCCCTCCACAGTCCCACCTTGTGAGTTATGCCTCATCACCCCAGGTCTGAGGTTTTCCTGTTCTCAAAGATACCTGAGAGGACAGAAACACTGGATCCTCAACCCTTGGAAGAGCTCCTGCCTGGGGAAGAAAGAATGCACCCTGACCTTGTCGGCATCAGGGAAAACTTTCCATTCCCAAAATTCTTGGTCTGTGGGACACAGACTGCCTGTTGTTTCTGAAGACATGTCCCCACTTTATGATGTCCTGGGGAACAAGTGAAACTTTTTTGTGCAGAATGGGGCATAGGACCCAGAATCTGTGGTTGCTTCCAGCTCTCAGATGCTGCGATTCTAAAAGAACCTATTCTCTCCTCATAAAATAACACACTGGGGTCCGAGTTGAGTATTCACCTGGAGATGCTCCTGCTTCACCACCCTATGAGCAGACAGGGACACAGAAAGGACTTACATACTTCACCACCACTACATCACCACCAATGCAGTGATGGTGGACACACAGGACATACTTTGGATGCAACCTCCAGGCCAGCACCATTTTCCAAAAACCTCAGGACGACCTTCACAAGGCCCTCCTTTTGGATACTTGAAAGCAGATAGCACTGTAGTGCACAGCACATGCCCCTGGTGGGACAGTGATCTGGACACTGGACTCATAATATTCATGACAATGCCTACCTTTTCACTTGGCTCACCATGTGCTGGGCAGAAACCCTGTGCAGCATCTGACATTGGCTGCAGGTCTGCTTCTGTCCTCTAGGGCACAACATTGAGATCCACAGGAAATAGACACAGGAACTGGGCTTTGACTAAGATGGAGAAGTAGCCTGAGCTTCATGCCCTGTTCCAAAAGGCCTTTCTCCAGTCCTCCCTTTTGACTGCTCTGGCCCACCTGCTACTACTAGAGACTGTCAGCAGAAAGGGGCTGTGCAGTATCCCTGACAAGCTCAGGGGTCACATGGCAAGCCTGACAATACTCACAAAATATTTCTATCAGAAATTTCTCACTTGTCAGGCTGTCACATCGCAGGCTTGTATTTTCCTTAAGAAAGGTCAGTCTTTAATGTAAGTGAGCCCTGATCCATTTTTGTGCATCTTGGGAAGCATAAGTTTGACACATCAGAGTGATTTTGTTCTCTGGACCATTCACGTCACGGAGTCTGGGACAAGTGTGTGAGACCACAGCATCCTTTATGTTATCTGGACCCCTGCACACCTTCTCTGTGTCCTCTAAATGCTAATTATCCTCTACCCACCAATGTAAAAACTACGTGTGTCTCCATTTTGCCTTTTTTTTTCCAATTCTGGAGATTGCTTTGCTATGTTTTATTTCACTTTCTTCTGGATTTTGTCTAAATTTATTGTCTTCTATTTTGATGACAATGTATACAATAATCTAAAAAACTGCCTTTTTTCAAATCATTTGAGTGCTTTCTCCAAGGCATATGAGGTCAGTTTGGCTCAGATAAACTCATTACATGGCTGTATAAGCTTGGACATTTTTTACCCAGAGAGAGCCCTGAAGCCTCCTCTTTCAGGGGTTTCTGTGCTGCTCTCTACTCCATGCCTGGCATCCTGCATGGACAAGCATGGGGAGTCTGCCCAGGGATAACTCAGAGGTTTTCCCAGCAGCCAGCAGCACAGGGCAGGTCTTACAAACAGACTTGGAGAGGAATGCTCCACCTGAAACTGTCTCTTGAGAACCAGGCAGCCCACAGGCACCTGACCTTTCACAACAATCCTTTCTTCCTGGGACACAGAGAGGACATCTCCCACTTCACACCCAAAACTGCATGTCCTACTGAGAATTCTGGTTTTGAGTTTTTGTCCCTGGAAGCAAAAGCCAGTCTGGTGACCACCTGAGATTGAAGAAGGGTCCCCTCTGCAATGATCACTGAGCTGGAACACTTCTCATTCCCAGAGTAATTTCTATTACCTTCATGTGGCAAAAAATAAAACCAGAGAGCTTTTGAGAACATGGGGAAGACCTGGTGCCCAGCTGGGTTTCTGTATCACAAAGAAATAATCCCCTTTTTGGATGATATCTGGGGCTCTCCGTGTAGTTCTAACAGACCCAAGCTAAAGACACAGCAGATGCCAATGCTGGCATTAGTGAGTCATCCTCCCAAGACACCCATGTCCCTGTCCACCTTGCTATTGCAAGTGAGCTCCACAAATGATCATTAAGATCAACCTCCCCACAGAGCTTGTCAGATACAGAGTCTCTGGCCCACTGCATCCAGTCAGAATCTGCCGTTTAACAGGATCTGGAGACTTCCCTTGTGCACAGGCCAGCAGGAGAGGTGCTTCTACTTTCTCATCAAAGGATCTCACTCTGAATGGGCATCCACATTTGCTGGACAGCTGCTTAAGCTGCATTTTTAAGGTGTCACCTGGGCATTGCAATGTTACACTGTTTCACAGGTGATGTGGTACATAGCAGGATTGACTTCCTTCTGACAGGTTTCTGTCACTTAGCACAAGAACTACTGCTCTGAAGGGAAGAGTCAAATGAAAAGAGGCTTTGGGAGAGACTACTGGGCACCTGACATGAACCTGTGGAAAAACCCTTAAACCCAGAAACTCCAGGCTTGTGCTTTTCCAAACTCAGCATGAGAGTGGGTGTTTGTGTGTTTATGCGTGTGTGCATGTGTTTGCATGTGTGTTTGTGTGGTGCTGAGAGGCCTCAGGAGTTCCCAAGGAACCAAATCGTAGGAGGGCAGTACTGGTTAGAAGGGCCACGGGCGGCTAAAACTAGAGCAGGGAGTGGTATGGTCATGTGCATATTCCCTGCCCCCAGCTCACATGACAAGATTGGTAACTTTGCCCCAGAATAAAGCTCAGGGCTCAGTAGGACACACAGCAGATTGTACCGTTTGGGACAGCGGTTGCTGTGAGCCTCACCAAAAGTGAAGCTTCTCTCAAAACGGGCACCACAGAGCAGACAACATACACCATGGGATCGCTGTCAGTCTCTACCCACAGAGGACTTGTCCACTGGAAAGGGCTCCTGCTACTTGGTGAGTAGGAGATAATTCCTTGGGGTAGACTAAGGATCTGGCCCAGAGACTGGCTGGAGTCTGCTAAAGACCCAGGGATCTGAGAAAAGAGGGAAGGCTTCTGTCTGGACCTGAGGGTGAAGGACAAGGAGCAGAGTAGGATGGGTAAGGGGGCCCAGCAAGAGGAAAAATCTCATCATCTGGAAGTGGAGGGAGGCAGGAAAATGTAGATTGCTGTGTATTTCCTGTTATTAATCACTGAGTATTGAATATTGAAAACTGGTAATAATAATAATGATTTATGTCAGGAAATATCAAAAAAATTTAACCTGGGGAGCCAAACATTGTCATCACCACAAAGCCCAGAAATGGGAAGATAAACCCCAGGAGGTACAGCACTCATTCATTCATCCCCATCTATTTTCAAGCTGTTGCAGTCACTGGAGCTACAAGACCAGACAAGCCCTGCTCTCAGAAAGTCCATGTTCTATGGAGGAGAGAGGGACAAGGAAGGTATAGATGTGAGGTCAGGTATCCAGAAAAGCCATGGAAAAAAAGAGCAGGACAGGTCAGAAAGTGAAGGCAGAGAATCTTTAGAGAAGGTGGTCAGCAAATGTGTCTTTCAAGACTACCCCTGAGTGTTAGCGTTGGTCTAAGCACAGTGATGAGGTGACCAAGACAAACACCTGGAGAATAGTATTTGAAACAGGAAAAAAATAATAGCTTCAGATGTGCTGAAGTAATGGGAGCCATGCTGTTGACCTTGACCATGGGAGACACACACTCACCTGCAGACCAAGGCTGAGAGATAAAGAGACCCACTCAGGATTCAGGGTCTCATCTTTCTGTCCCAATACATAGATATAAATATTGATCCACTTTTTTCTTATTTCCTAGTTTCACTCTTAACCTTCTGGAGCCTGCCCACCACAGCTGATATCCGTGTTGTGTCCACCTATCCTGCTGAAGGGCAAGATGCAGTTCTGCAGGTCCGCAATAAGCCTCCTGAGGCTGTAGGCGTAGTGTGGTACAAGGGGAAACGTGTGGACACAAATAATTTAATTGCATTTTCTGTGATGACATCCGATGACATCCATTTAAGTGGTCCTGGAGAGAATGGAGAACAGATGATAACTGATGATGGATCCTTGCTATTGAAAAATGTCACCGTGGATGATATAGGACCATACACTGTAGCTGTCCACCTTCCAGATTCAGAACCAGAAATAGCATCTGGGCTGCTTCACTTGTTTGGTGAGTGATTGCTCTCTGATGACTGAAGGTTGGGTGGGGTGACTCCTATTTCACACACATGACAGACAGCCCTGGACACTACTGGCATTCCCCTCTGCATTTTGTTTCAGATTCAATTTTGACAATTAATGCAGGATTCACAGAGTATAGACAAATTTCTTAAGATCTCAGTTCCTTTCCCAATGTGCAGCCCTGCAGGCATTCACTGCTGACAGATGGGTCAGTCTGAAGAGAGAAATTCAACGGAGAGATACCATTCTCAGTTCAGCCCCCTGAGCATGTTCCTATGACTTGAACTGAGGCTAACCCTCTATACTAGGTCAGAGCATGGTCTGAGAGGCCTCCTGGTACTCACACAGAGCTCAGCTCAGAAACCGCTCCCCAGAATACTGTGCCAGGTTTCTTGAAAGCAGGGACACAAGGCAGCCTGTGCCAGTTTGGATTTGGTGTCTCAAACGGTCTCGGTGTGTGATGGTTAATGGGCCCTTGAGTCACAAGGCTCCCGAGGCAGTGACCAGTCCTGCCTCAGGCTGAGGAGTCACATTTTGGCAGAAATGGAGTTTGGTGTTACCTGAGTCTGTGTGTGGAGAGTACAGTTAGACAATGTCTGTGGATATAGCAGACTGACCTGGGGGACTGAGGAAGCTTCAGAAAAAGGTCAGCATCTCCAGAAAGAAACTGAAGAGAAAAGATGCTCCTGGAAGGTCCTCATTCACCAGGGATCAGCCCAGACCAGTAAGACATCTGGGAGTTGTTCAATAAGAAATGCTATTTTGGAGCAGCTCTTCTGTGTCAAGATTAAGGTCACATGCTGACAATATTTTACAGTTAACATACTGATAACCTTTTTCATTGAGAACAAACCGAGGAACAGGAAGATTCAGTCACTCTAGCAGACTCACACAGAACATGTGCAACTCATTTAACTCACTCTTGGGCTGTCTGTAGCCATAGACTTAATTTCTCTACTTTGGGGAACACAGAAGAGGGTCTTTGGATTCTGAACCAAAACCACTGATTCACAGACTTTTTTTTTTATTATGTGTCCTCAGCTCATAGGAATACTTTTTGGTGTGTGGAGTGAAAACATGGAGGCATAGACTATTTTTACTCTAGAACCAAAGTACCTGCAGTAACAACCAGAATCACTGTATACATTACCCAGGCATCCCGCTCAGGTGTCCCATCCATCCCTCCCTGAACTGGATTTGATATCAATTATTTGTTTCCTTCTTTGGTGCACTCTCTCCCACCAGATACAAATAAAAGGACTTTGTCTTCTCACTACCCACTCTACCCCTGAAACCAGCTCAGGGACTAATAAGTGAAAAACAACAACAACAACAACAAAAAAAAAAACTCAGTTGCTGTTGATGAATTTGGAAGAAATAAATCAGTAATGAATGAAATGAATGAGTGATCGAAAATCACTTCTGAGCCTGGAACCTGCATGCAGTGTCCTTTAAATTCTGACCATGAGGGACAGGCTTTCTGTGCCTCCAGGAACTAAGACCATCATCTCAGATCCTTTTCTTTTCTTTTTCTAAGAAAATAGCCTTTCTTGCAATTAGTTTAAGGCCCTAGGTTACTCATCATCATTTCACACACAGAATAATTTTAAGTTTTTCCACATTTCTATCTCATGGCCCCCTTACACAAATTGTACAAGCACCACAATTTCAGGAAGTCAGTGCTCCCCATTTGCTGTAAGTCACTCTTAATTTGTAATTTTCTGAAATGTAATTTTCCATTTACACAAGTCCTCACCTGCCGTCAGTGGAGAGAGACTTTAATGGCCAAGGGAAAAGCAGACGATTCTGCTGCCATTATCAGCTACTGCCTATCTTTGTCTTTTTGCTAAATGACTTCTTGGACACTGTTCTAGCATTCATTGCCTCACTGGTTCATTTCACTCACACTTCCTGGGAAAACCTGACCCACCTCATGAGCCAGAGGCCCGAGTAGTCAACCTGCTGCTTGCTTGCTTCCGGACTTTATTTGTTGTTCATTCAAACCCCAGTCTTGAGGATGTCCTGAGAAATGGTGCCCCATAGAATCACACCTCAGCTGGGTGATAGAAGTCTGTGCAGCTGCAAGGAAAGGCTTCTGGTCAACCAAGAAGTCATGTGGTCTGGGAAATATTGTGTTAGCTCTGGGCTGTTATGTATGTCCTTTATTACATGAATACCTTTCTTCTATTCCCACAGTCAATGTCTTTTGTTAAATGCTTAACTTCTTCCCTCTAGAGATTAATGATACCATGACATTGACTCAGTTGGCAAGAAAATAAAGTCTTGTTCAGAGTGAGAAGCCTTTTTGATAGAAATCCTCAAAGTGGAAGCCATGAACACTGGATTGGGCCATTCTTAATGACTAATAATTTGTTTAACAACAACTGAATGCTTTTCTACTTGCTGTAAACTTCCCTTGGCCCCAGAGATGGACAAAGGTGGTAACCTTGCCATCCCCAAAGTATATCAATGTTTTCATAAGGAGTAGAACCTGATGTTTTGCGATGTTTGTGAAAAAAGTTCTAGGACCAGAACAATAAAGCTAATGAAAGAAAAATTGTACCTGATGATGAGGTTATGAGCCATAAGAACTGGGAAGGGGTTTTGAGTGCTGCTACTACAGAGATGAGTGAGGAAACAGGTATAGAATCCCCCTGAGCTTATAGGGGCTCAGAGAGGAAATGCAGCTTTCACTTTACATACTGTCACCTGAACTTAGACAATTTTCTGTCTGCAAGTGTCAAGGACATACTCTGGTGACATTTACATTGCTCGCTGTGGACTGTGAGTGGTGGAGATCTCTGAGGGAGCAGCATGGCTCCGTGTCTCAAGCACATTCTCAAAGATTTCACATTCTCTGTTTCTTTACAGAGTATCTGAGAGTGCCCGTCATCCAGGCTAGAAGGTATAAAATCGGAGAGAATGTCTATACTATGGTCTTGATCTGCTACACAAAAGAACGCATCATCCAGTGGATGTTCAATAACAGGCCTCTGCTACCTTCAAAGAGAATAACTCTGAGCTGGAACGATAGAAAACTAACCATACACCAAGCCAGGAGGGAAGATGCTGGGGTTTACTATTGTAAAGCATTTAACACCACCATGTGGCTTGTAAGTCGGACCTATCAACTGCGTATGTATCCCTGGCTGGCATAGCTCAGTGAATTGAGCATGGGCTGTGAACCAAGGTGTCACAGGTTCGATTCCCAGTCAAGTCACATACCTGGGTTGCAAGCCATGGCCCCCACCAACCGCACATTGATGTTTCTCTCTCTCCCTCTTTCTCCCTCCCTTCCCTCTCTAAAAATAAATAAACAAAATCTTTAAAAAAATGCTGCTTTTGCTACATTGGTGACCCTCCTTTCTTCCTCTGTCTTACAGAACTCTAAGTTAGGTTTCTTTGCATTATTGTAATATATTTGTCTGCAGGTGAATAGTTCTAAAAGATTTACATTAAGTCAATAAACATTCAAAAATGTCAGCTGTCATTGTCATTATTGTTCACTTCAGGTCACATTTCAAACCAACCCCTGCCTTGGTTTGGCCTCACTTGTATTATGTCCACAGTGTAGTTAACATTGTGTCCCGCAAAGAATCAGCAGTTGTCCTGTGATAACCAGTGAAAGCAGGTGATAAGTTCACAGAATCTGACCTCTGTCGCCTCTCCATGCAAACATGAGGATGCACCTGGTCACAACTGTAGACAATGGGAATGGACAAGAGGACACCCAGGTGGGTAGCAGCACTGATCTTAGTCTTTCTCTTAGATAACTTTCAAAAGTTTTCTAAAGTCTCCACTATTGTTATTTACATGTCAATACAACTATTTGATTAGTTTAGTCCATTTCTATTCTTTCTGGTAATAAGATATAATTGGAACTTTGGTAATAAAGTGAGGACTTTATCTCCAATGTCCTAGTTCAGACCAATGCCCATGGAATTAGAAATGAACCCATAGTTGACAAACCTAAGTATGATCTCTTGGTCTTTTGGTACCTCCTGGAGAAGAGCACGTCACTCAAAGCTAGAGGGACTGCAGGTAAAGTGTGAGGGTGAAGCTCCTTAACCTGAGCTGACAAAACTCCCACCATGTGTTCTATAGAAAAAACCTTGATTGGAACAAACCAAGTGGTGAAAGTCAGTTCCTCTGCTCTTAGGTAATGAATGAGGTCAAATCACGTGACTCCAGCCACATTGTAGCATCAAGTACACATTTTTTCCATTGGGATTATGTTTGAGGAGAGGGAATGTTACTATAGAAAAAAAATGTGGTATCTGAATGGAAATCTCCAGAAGCCCAGCCTTCTGGGAGATCAGATTTTGGCTCTGTTCAGGGACTCTCAGTTACTTTTCACTTCTGTATAAATTGCATTAAGGGATAGAAATGAAAAATGGGTCTCAGCTGAGAGAGATGTAGTTGTGTTCCACTCCATAGTGCAGAAAGCAGTTTTGTGATGAGCCAGAGGCCTTCCTGTTCCTCAGAGTCACTGACCTGTACACAGATTCTTCCTGATTGCAGGCATCTGACCTCCACACTTTCAGAACATTTTCTTCAGAAATGGAATAGCAACTTTTTATTGCATGTAGGGAACCAGTTCACATGGTGTGGAAATGCAGCTAGTCTTCATGTGGAAAACCAATGGAAAATGAGTAGCACACAGGACCACAGCTACGGAGAGGTTTACCCATGGGGAATCAGGCCTACATTGTACCTTGGCCACTATGAGGCTTGCTTTTGCTAAAACTCCCTCCCCCTCACTTGAGGCAGCAAGTGCTTACTGTAACTTCCTAAAATCTGAGCTAAACCTCCCAAATATGGACTGTAACCATTTCAATCACTTTTCGCCTTGATCTGTAACATCCTTCTCTTTCAAGTAATTCGCAACATTCGTTCCCTTGTTATCCGTAAATGGTAAAAGCCTACAGCCAACCTGTGGGTAGTAAATGAGGACCATCCTCAATGTTATGTACCCAGAAAAGCAATAAAAGCCTGTCAAGGTGGGGGCCGGGGCCCTGGATCTCACTTAGAGAACTGTCGTGCCATCCCTTTTCTCCGCAGGATTTCTGTAGTCCATGTGAATTTGTTCATTGCAGCCACAAAACACAGGGATCCTGCCAGCCAGGGTCACATCAGCCCCTGACTTTAGATTTAATCCTCTGTGTGTCTGTGCCTCATCTCTCTGGGAGGGTTGAAGATCAACTTCTTTGAGGACCATTGGAAGCATGAGGTAAGAAGACAAACCGGGAAGATTTCATGAAATGTTTGTCTTTACACTTCTTTTTTGTAAAGCCAAATAGCAAACAGAGGAGTCTTTGATTCTTTCTCTTGTTCTTAAAATCTTCTCATCCTTCTCTTTCAAGGGTGTTGCCCTCTGGTTCTCTATACTAACACGTGGTCTTTAAGAAAGTCTCTCTTGCCCCTTAAAATTTGTCTGATGCATCTTTCACTCTGCCAGCATCTCCTTGTAATTACCCGATCTTTTCACCTCGCTCACAGTGCCCACCCTTATCTTATTTTCCAATCATCCCATTTTTAAACATCTGGCTATAATTTTCCAAGTAACTGTTTCCAGTTGTCTTGCCTTCCTTCTGAATTGGTGTCCACAGCCAAACATGACCTGACTGCCCAGATTTCTCTCAGGATGAGTTTGCCTTCAAGTGGCCTTTGCTTAGAATCTGATAGAAAGGGCAGGTGTGAACCTTGGCACCTCTGCAGGGGCCTACCCATCAACGGTGTTTGCATTGTACATACATTCTCACTCACCTTTGAGCAAAATATTACGAAGGTTTGAAAACTATTCTGTCATGCACACCAGAAAGTCTAGCAAACATGTAGGTCCCTGTGACACCAGGCCCCACAGACCTGCACTGGGAGATTCTGTATTGTGCCTCCTATGACCTGGAATTCAGGGCAGAAACCAATGTCTTTCTCTGTGATTTCTCTGTTATGTTTGGAAAGTCCACACCTCTACCTTCAGTGTCTACAATCAGAACTTCAGCAACAGAAAATAAATCTCTTTTCTGGTCTACTTTTTAATCCTACTTGGGTCCTCTGAGGCATTGGACTGAATCCTCTGGTCAGAGGGGCATGGTGGGTAGGCAGAGTTGCGCATACAGGGCACTCAAAAAGAAATAGGATCTGCTCAGAGACCTGATGGGAAAGTGTAAAGCATAAGGCTTTGGGTATTAGGTATTGTATGGATTAAAGAGGACATAAGAAGGTGACTGAGGAGGTTTTGTTAATTAAGGAAGCTCAGGATGGGGCTGAGGCATACATGTAAGGGGCTTACCTGAGTGATGAGGATGGGGCCACTGGAGCTGGTGCAGTGAGAGAGCGGAGCCATTCTCCAAGACTGGGATGGGTATGTGGGGAGAGACACAGGGTTGGCAGAAAGAGCAAAGTTTTGAAAGTTTGGAAGACTCAGTTTAGTGTTCTAAGATTAGTATAAAAGGGAAAATCAGATGTGCTGGGCAACAAATATAGTGAAACAGGAGACATGGAATAAGAATCAAGGGAGATATGAGATGAACTTCCTGTTGAAGACTAGGATTCTGAGTAGTGATGAAGGTGTGTAAGACTTCGGACATCATGGGTACATAAATTTTCATCAGGAAGGCAGTTGGGGTCTCTGGTAGTGGGGTCTCTGGTAGTGGGGCCTCTGCTAGTGGGATACTAGCAGAGGGGTTGCAGTGGAGCCTGGCAACGGTGGGGAATGCAGGGCAGGCTTGAGGATGAGGACAAGATTGAAGGTCAATGGTGTCCAGTCTCTATTTCAACCCAGTGGAAACATATGGTGCAGGCTCTCAAGGTGTAGTCTGAGGGCCATCATTTCCACATGGCCTTGGAGAACTGATGACAACTAAAACTCAATCCCATGACATGAGATGTGCCTCTGCGGAGTCAACAAGTTAGCCATGATTTAGGGGATTTGCGTGTAAGTAGGTTGACTAGGTGTCTGGGGAGAGGCAAAAATAGTGGCTGATGGTGTGTGTGGTTGGGAGGGGAAATTGAGGGCCAGAATGAACTCGCAGTGGATGTTGACTTCTTTGTTGAAAGTGACAGGGAATTTCTTGTGAGTCCATGGTGAAAGCTATGTGACAGACCCCTTGATGAAGCAGTAGTTGTTGAAGGTCTGGGTCACATGCCCTTGTCTAATCCAGACCTATCACTTCTGTTTGTGATGGGCTCTGCTCTTATTGCTTGATATTAACAGCCGTGCATAGAATAGAACCACATCTGAGGACGTCTAGCTACCTTGTCACATTACAGCCCATATTTAGACAATCTGACTCCTGTGGGAGTTAAAAGTCAATCAGGAGCTATTGCAGTATTGCTATAGAAAGCATGGCCTTGCCCTGAAGCCTAGAATTCTGAATGTCATTCTCTTAATGGTCAAACCACAGGGTTCATAAAGCACCTTTTATTCTTCTGACATTAACTGAATGGAGGTAGAAACACAACAACATGTCTTTTACTCTGCAGGGTATGTCCAGCTTAGCCCATAATGTGTGGCAGATCCCTGAATGGTCACAAATGTAGGTGTAATGCTTTGCCTGAACTGCCCACCCTTGCAGCTGATCTTTTCCCCGGTGTCACTGGTATCACTAATGTCATTGTCTGAAAAGTATCAACATTGGTAGGCATCCACTTCCACCCTTCAAAGCCCAGGTGTCTACTGAGGCATTTAGAAAACTTGCCCTTTGGATCATTTCTAGCAAGAAAGCCTGCAGTTCAAACCATTAAGGATGACACTAGTAGTAAGGGTGTATGGGTTTTGTGACTGGAGTTTGGTGTGAAATTGACTTGGAGGATGAAGTCATTCCTTTGCCCTGCTGGGGAAGTTCAGCTTCCTGGGTTCACACTCAGTGCAGTCACTAAGAGCTGCTGGTTGGTTTAATCCTCTGCCTTCACCATTCTGAAAAGCTTATTGACTTTTCAACCAGGAGGACCGCAATCCCTTGACACTGACTTTTTCTAGTTTGGCTCCTAGGCATGACCTGAAGTTGGAACAAAACAGTTGACCTTAGAGGGAGCTGCCATTTGAAATGCGATCACCAGAGGGCAGCACCTGTGCAAAGCAAACAGAGTGGGCTATGAAGGGATGGGTGGAGTTTTGAGCTTTATCTACACTATTTGTGTCACTTCAAGTGTCTAATGAGCAGAAGTATTTTACCCTCACCTCTCCAGCTCACAGTTCTTCATCTCTGATATACTTCACTATTCACATTTAAAGAAAATTCTGTTGGTGGC